CGTAGACAAGAAACTAGATAAGTGTTTACCATTTCTATGAAATTTAGGTGTTGTTTGTATTTTCGAAGTTAAAATTTATGAAATCTGCGGACCACCTCCGCAACCCTCTACAACAAAAAAGCAGACTAAATGGCTGCAATCTGTAATAAGAAGCTTGTTTATTTTTTAATATCCGCAGGGTGCTGCAATAAACTCAAATTTTAATAAACTGATTTTACAAACAAAAAATAGTTCTCAACACCGAAATTTTAATAATTTCTAGTTTTAAAACATTGAAAGAGTATTAAAAATAACATGTAAAAAAACAAAAATATAAAATTTCTAAAAAAATCTAAAAAATGTATAACAACCAATCCGTTTTTTTTCTATAAAAAACTAATTTTAAAGAACATAAAAAAAAAGAAAATTATAAAAAAAATTAAGAAAATATTGCAAACAATGTTTAGAAAATTCGTAAAAGAATCACACATGCTAAAAAAGACTCAACCGAAAATGAAAATATTATTAAAAAAACAGTAAAAAATTTAAAAAAAAAATCAAAGTTTTTTTAAAAAAAAATCAAGTTATAAAAAATTGTGGAAAATTTAAAAAGAAATTGTATCAAATCCGTCAATCAAAGTTAAAAAAAAAAAAAAAAAAGTTTAAGAAAAAAAATCAGTGTTTAAAAAAAATCAAGTTATACCTATTTTTTTTTTTTTTTAAAAAACGACTTGGAAAAAATGAAAGCTGAAGAGGTTTGAAGAGGTAAGTCAAATGTTGTGCAACACAGAACACGTGAATATGTTTTATAGTTTGAAGCCTTCCAAAAAACAAACTGCTGCGAGGGGGCAATGTTGCACGTGTGCTACGCTGCGCAACAAAAAGTGGTATGATGATGTTTTTTCTAAAATAACAAACAACCCCTTAGTATTGTATTTTTTGTATTATGTTCAAGTGGTAGATATTTTTTGCAACAATTTCAATTTGTTGAATAAATAATCAACGTCGATGTTTGAGATATAACCATTTTGCAAACTATTTTCAAGACTTTTTGCAAGTTGTCTTTAACTCACTGATACTTAATGATTTCGGTTTTTTGTTGTGAATAAGAAACCAAAAGTGTTTTCGTATTGTTTTGATCATTTAAACAATCATTCCAATTAACCAATAGTTTGATGAAATATGTACACACAATATTTTATCTTGAAACATATTTTTATTTTTCTTTAGATATAGATAATTTCATTAAATTATTGGTAAATTTTAGAATTTATGATTAAATTTTGATTTTGTTTGTTTGTTTTTTTTTTTTATAATTTAAATGTTTTCATGATTCCAACCAAATGTTACAATGAGCATATAAAAATCGATGACCAATTTTATTTAATGATTACATATAAAAATGTATTTTACAAATATACCAACACCATCACTAAATATTTGTCCTAAAATTTGGAGGCTCCTAAAATTGGTGGCCCCGTGTGACCACACCTCCCGCACACCCCAGATCGCCAGTAAGCAAGTGTAAAAGTAGCATCTCAGCCCATTACATATAGATGTAGCCTACAATTAAGTACTTTTGGCGTCTGATGATGTTGCAATTTGTACTTCGGAGTTGATAGGTTAGTATAACTAATCTTTTATATTTATTTTACGACTAAAACTTGTCGTAGGCTTTCCTACGAATATGTCATGGTTATAAAGAAGTCAAGCCGAAATTCAGTAGGAAATAAATGGGTCGGATTTTGTAGAAAATCTAGATATCACAATACTATTGAGGCTTCGGGGAGGGGGGGACGCTAAGGAGCTTGCCAAGCTCGCTAACGCTCGCCAAACATCGTCCCCTGCCTTACGCTAAGGGGGGCGCCAAGGAAGGGTTGCTATGGCTGTAACGAGAGGAGAGAGAAATTGTTAAATGGGTGTTCTGATTGCTGATATATATTTCTTTATTTATTTTAACCCCCCCCCCCCATAATCAATTCTATTAAATTGCCCACTATCATTCCCTATGAAATGCTAAGAGAAGCATGCTAGTGAGGTGTCACCAAAAAACATGATGTGGCAGAAAAAAATGATATGACATTTTGTTAAGGGTACTATCATTCATTTCAATCTCATATATTAGGCCATTGGGTATGGCAATTACATGTTCACTAGAAAAGTGAGTCATATATGCGCCACATCACATCCACTACATTTTCACTAGCCCGTGGAAATAGCTACCACTCCACATTGTTTAACTTATATATATATATATATATATATATATATATAGATTAAATAAAAAACATAATTAATAAATATAAATAAATATTTCACATTACTTAAAAACATATTACATAACTTAAACTTTAAACCTAAATTACTAAAAAAAATAAAAACATAAAATTTCAAACCTAAATTACTAAAAAAACATAAAACCATAGCCTTTGGAAATGGTTGCTACTCCACATTATATATTTTTTATTTTTTATTTTTATAAAAAGAAACATAAAAGCATAGAAATTGAATGATGTAATTTGTTTTGTATATTGTTATACATTTTTCAGAAAAAAAAGCTAATATAATATAATTAATAAGGATATATATATATATATATATATATATATATATATATATATATATATATATATATATATATAAAGAAAGATGTGATATGTAAATAATATATAAGTTAAAGGGATGTTATATAAAATTAACTCTAAATTGAAAAGGAAAGAGATGAAGGGGGTACACTCTGTTATCATGTTATCTACCTACTTTGTTCAACACCCAATCAAAGCCCTCGTAAGCATCCGTGAAGGCCACCACGTTATAAAGACCACTACGCCCAAATGGGGCAGTATTCACGCGTATACAAGGCTTGACACATAGGATTTGACACGTAGGAAAGCCCCCATATCCTATGGCCTTAGGCTTTGCGGTATGGAGTTTTGGTGGCTATGCATGGGGCCTACGTGGCAAGGTCACCTATGCGTGAACACCGCCCCAGGTGCTCGTAGGTGCCTTGTGGCGTAGTGTGTACCAAGGTCACCTACTACTTTCTTTCATTTTTCTTCAAAAAAATGGATCCCAACCAAAATACTCCACCCACTCCAAACACTCCAAGTGATTATCAAGCATATATGCAATTGTTGAATTCTTCAATCCAACAACAACCTTTATTCACTAACCTTCCATACAACCCACAATTCTTCCAACAACAACGACCACAACAACAATTCACTCAACTAATTTATTCCCCAATTCCAAGGTTTTCAACAATAAGTTTCTCCACAACTCCAAACACAATCATCTCAAGTCCCATTAACTCAATCCCAAACTGTGAACCTCGACAACGACGATGAAATGGTCCAAGAAACACCACAACCATCTCGAAGAAGGCAACCAGAAGGAAAAGGGAAAAAGAAAGCAACGGCTTGGAACGAAGAAGAAGAAGAAGCTTTAGCAAAAGCTTGGATTTTCATATCCTGTGACTCGAGGAGAGGCAACGCGCAATCTGGAGAAAGTTTTTGGAATCATGTTTTGGATCAGTTTCACGCGCTACTTGGAAGAAAAACGGATCGGTCGTACGACGCGGTCAACGGAAAATGGCGTGATCTTCGCGCGATTTGCACAAAGTTTAATGGTATATTTGAAAATCTAAAAAATATGCATAAAAGTGGTACCAACGATTTCAACATTTTATCAATCGCGTGCTACCAATTCAAAGTGACCAACAACGGTAAACCATTTGGCACCAAAAAGCATGGGAAGTGTGTCGTCAAGGTCCAAAATGGGTCCTTAATCCAGAGACATCGCATTCGGACTCGACCACCGGCTCCAACAAAAGACCAAGAACTTCTGATTCGGACGAGGGTTTTGGGCTAGACCTCAATGATGACGTCGATGTTGCCGAGGGAGAGGGTCCACCTGAAGTCCAACTCCGTCGACCACCGGGAAGGGACAAACCAAAACGGGCGGCGTCTTCAAGCGGGAAAGCAACCGCAACTAGCGACGATGGGCTTGTGGAATCCATAGATAAAACTTTAAGTTTTCTAGAAAGAAAATACGAATCCACAGAGGAATCTCGTCGCCAAAAAATCGCTCTTACCGATCTTCAAATCATAAACTCGAAACCCTTACCGGATCTCGACCCCGAAAATTTCGCGACATTTCTCAAAATCCAACAACGTGTCCGTGCTAAGTATGAGGATTAGGTTCTAATATTTATCTTTTAGTTGTTATGTTGTGTGTTTTTTAAGTAATTTAGGATAAATAAGTAATTTAGGATTTTTTTTTTAAGTATTTTAGGATAAATAAGTAATTTAGGATTTTTTTTTGTTGTTTTTTAAATATTTTAGGATTTGATTTTGTGTGTTTTAAAATTAATGCAATGTGTTTTAATTTAGTGTTTTTAATGTGTGTTTTATTTGAATTACTTTTTTTAATTTAATCTAATATTGTCAAAAGATGTGGAGTGATAACCATTTTCAATGGTTAGTGGATTTGTAGTGGAGGTGATATGGCCTCACTTTTTAAGTACCCCTTAGCCTTATAGTGATAGAAGTTTGTCATTAATAAGGTTATAAATCTTGCGTAATCTATCAGAAAATTGATGTGTCAGAAATCTATGACTAAAAATATTTGTTGGAAATTATCACCATAAAAAATTGCTAGAAAGATTTCACTGAATCAATATGTTGGAAATTAGTCACAAAAGATGTTATCGATTGGTGGAAAAATATATCAGTAATGCGTCACTAACTGTGTCTGAAAAAATCATCCACATGGTTTTACCAACAATTTTTTTTTTGCGCGAATATCTTATCTTAGTTTTTTGGATACCAATTCAAAACTCGATCTTACTTGACTTTCATACCTGGTAAAGGAATCTTTTTTAGTATATAGGTTCCCTTAATATAAATGATACAAAGAATGAAGATTGAACCAAATTACTAGAAAACATTAAACCAAGTCAATGGTATAACGGCAGAAGACCCCCTTCTTTGTAAATTGGAGTCACTTAGTTCAGATATGACTCAAGAAAATACCAGCTTCTGGAGAGTGGTAGGGCGACAAATGTCGGGCAATAATTGGCCTGACCAGGCTGAGTCAGCAAGCAGTGAGCTGACTACACGTCCAGGGTTGAATAGATCCCACCAAACATAGGTTGAAGGGTTTTTGCAAACCATGTTCATGGACATGCAGCCACTCATCCCATTATCCATGCCTATCCCACAACATGCACTATTCACATTCTCAAATCCTGTAAATTTTATAGAAATGCATATCAGAATTATTTACCTCTATCAGAAAACATAAAATATTTTACCGTTTTGTTGTAAATATATTTAAAACGAAGCTTAACCAAGATTTGAGCAAAAAATTTTGATATTTAAAGATTCAAAATTTCAGAAGAGAAAAAGAGGACATATATTTCAATCACATACCATATGCGTTTGGGTTTTTGATGATCTCCATCATCATGCGATAAACGTCACAAAAAATCAACTGTGCATCAGCTAATTCAACATTAAGGCTTATAATACGGTTTTCCAGAAAAGCATTATACTCCAATATAAGATTGTTGATCTCATCTGCACAAACCACCCTATCTCCACTGTGACCACCACCACTCACTGCATTATTCGTCCATTGAGAAAACCTAGGTGCACATCCTAAAGGCAGTATCCCCATAAATACAAACTTCCTCACACTTGAACCATACAGATACTGGATTGCGTTAGTCATTTGATCCACCAAAATACGTGACAGCTGCGTTTCATTTGATCCTGGACTCTTGGCGGACTTGCTGCGGAAGATATCAATGTAGTCGTCTTTGCCAAAAGAGAGGTAGAATAGGGTGGAGGATTGGATGAAGTTAGTAGCGGTTTCTTGGCCAAGTTCCAGTTGTAGTAGCTGAAAAATCTCAAATGCTTGGCGAAGCTGCTGGTTGAGGGACTGGAGGACTGAGTTGGTTGGGTTGCTCATGATGGTGGCTCCGGTTGACCCTAGATTCACCCCACGGAGGAGCACCTCCGTCGATCCATTCTGGCTATAGAAAGGTATTGGATATGGCAATCCGATCTTCTTTGCTACATCAATGGAAATCAAGAGCATGGTGAATTGCGAATTCCTATCCGAGAAAATATATACATTAGCTAATTAAAAAAGAAAGGTGCACGCGATTACCAAGAAGATGAGGAAGAATGGCAGAAGGAGGGCCATCACAAGGGTGTAAAGAGAGATTATTAAGGAGAAAAGGGAAAAAAAGTGTGTTTTCTCCACAATCAACAGAAGAATCACCCAACACATACATTGCCTTAATCTGATTTACCGTTTTGTTGCTACTCACCACTTTTATGAATATTGTGTTGACAATATGAAGAATCACAAATATCGTTTTATCTTTCCTCATTTTTTTTTTCAGTTTCCAGATATATATAAATATATCAGCCTAGCTGTGTCCTTATATATTGTTTCAAAATTGAAGTCAACTAATATAGTTTATTTTTAGTTTTAGAATTAGTAAAAATAATTAGACATGACTGTTTACAAAAAAATGGTTTTAGAATTTCACATTCATCCTTTAAATAGTAATAAAGTATAATTTAATTGATTTTATGATCATCACGTGTTTAGCTTTGCTGCAAACTAATTTATTGTATTTATTAAAATATAAGAACACTAAAATACTTATAGAGTACGTTTTATGACAATTTTCAATGATTAATTTGCAATGAAAATTATATAACAAGGTTGGGATTGCTTGATTTTTATACAATACAATGGTTTATCTATGATAATGTCACATGTACGTTGATTAAGAGACCTTGTAACTCACAAATTGCATCGACTAATTATAATTTTACAACTTAGAATTAGAAATTGTTAAGAGTAAATGAAACTACTTTTTCAACTATAAACACAAACAAATTAAAAGCTCATTTAACTTAATAAAAATATTTTAATAAAACTTATTTGAAGATAAGAGGACAGAGAATAAGTTATAGAAGCATGTAGATCAAAATTCAGAAACTTGTAGGTCATCAGATTTTCCCCTGTTTAGAAGCTTAAAAATATGTCGATGTGCATGTATAAAGCAATCTAATTAGGTTTATCATGTATTTAAGGTTGAACTCTACATGGCTTGCTTACGCATCAATGAATTATATTACATATTACAAAATCGATGGGTAAGTTACATGAATCGTCCCGGTGGTTTTGATAATTTGCACGTCTAATCCCACCTCTTTTACAATTTTACTTCGGACCGTCCTTTGATTTGGATTTGTTCCTATTTCAGTCCTAATAGACCTAAAATGACTGTTATACTCTTATGTATATATTTTTTTTTAGTTTTTTGTCACTTATTTT